CAAGGTAGAATTTCTGCTCACAACACTGTGCAGCTTAGAAGGAACATTGCTCACACCTGCCAGATCCAGGTAGGGAAACTCATGGAGATTCGGGGATGGAGACTGGGGAGGGCAGGGACCTCAGTGGGATTCAGTGCCACGGAGTCCACCCTCCAAAGCAGCCATTGCCACCAGGGGACGCGATTTCTGTAGATTGGAGATGAGCTGTAATTCCAGGGGATCCCCCAGGTCCCACCTGGAGGCTGGAGTCTCTCATCCTCGTATGTGAATGTATAAGAGAGCAACCGTTTAGAATGATAAAAGGAAGTCCTTCTTCACCCAAAGAGAGATTAACCCATGGAATTCACTGCCACAGGAGGTGGCGGCGGCTACAAGCATGGACGGCTTCAAGAGGGAATTGGATAAGCATATGGAGCAGAGGTCCATCAGTGCCTACTAAAGGTAAAGGTTTCCCTTGCTCGAAAGCCAGTCGAGTCCGACTCTAGGGTTGCGGTGCTCATCTCCGTTTCCAAGCCGAAGAGCCAGCGCTGTCCGAAGACGTTTCCGTGGTCATGTGGCCGGCATGACTAAATACCAAGGCGCACGGAACGCTGTGACCTTCTCACCGAAGTGGTACCTGTTTATCTACTTGCAATTTCTTGCTTTCGAACTGCTAGGTTGGCAGGAGCTGGAACTAGAGACGGGAGCTCATTCCGTCATGCGGCACACTCGGGTCTTGAACTGCTGAACTACCGACCTTCCACAGCCCGCAGTTCAGCGCCTTAACCACTTGAGCCACCGCAGCTCCTCCAGTGCCTACTAGCCACAAGATATAGATAGGAACTCTCAGTCTGGGGCAAGTCGTGCTCCGTATTCTTGGTGCTTGTGGGGGGGCGACAGTGGGAGGGCTCCTAGTGTCCTGGCCCCACCGGTGGACCTCCTGATGGCCCCTGATGGTATTTTTGGCCACTGTGTGACAGAGTGTTGGACTAGATGGGCCCTTGGCCTGATCCAACATTGGCTTCTCTTATGTTCTTATGGTGTGTGTGTGTGTGGGGAAAGCAAAACGGCGAGAGTAACCCCCCTCTCCCTTCCAGCTACGGTGACATGGTGCCCAGCACCATCGCAGGGAAGATCTTTGGCTCCATCTGCTCCCTCAGTGGGGTGCTCGTCATCGCCCTCCCGGTTCCCGTCATCGTGTCCAACTTCAGCCGCATCTACCACCAGAACCAGCGGGCAGATAAACGGCGGGCCCAGCAGGTGAGCATGGCCGGTGCTGGGAAAGGGTGGGAACAGACAGGAGGTCTTTGTGTGCACATGTGCACAAGGGGTGTGTTTGTGTGTGTGCGTGTGATTTCTCATTTTATACACGTTCCTCCTTTCCTCCCCTTGCAGAAGGTTCGCTTGGCCCGGATCCGGCTGGCCAAGAGCCGCACGACAAACGCTTTCCTGGGGTACAAACAGAACGGAGGCCTTGAGGTAGTGAGCTCTCGTCCAGATGTTCTTTGGCCAATTCAGTTTCGGGACCCCTTGGGCATCCCCTCTTGCTGATCGCGCCGAGCAGACGTTGGTCTCCGATGATCTCAAACACCTCACCCCGTTTTCGGCAGACGATTTCCAGCTCTGACCAAGTTTTATCATCCCAGGCTCTCGGCTATCGCGTGTCGGAATAGGTTTAAAAACAAAAGCCAACTCCCCGGACTTAGAAAAGTAGCCTATCAGCAAGGAAGCTTCCTGCCTGCTCCTGCTGCTCGTGTTTTTTATATGCAGGCAATTAGCGTTCAGGCCTAAGACCCTCACCCCTGCCATGTAAAAAGGATTCCGTCCGAACTTAAGATGGTTGCAGAGGGTAGCCATGTTGGTGGGCAGTAAACAGCTAGCTCTGAGTGCAAGAGCACCTTAGGGACCACAAGATTTTTAGATTATGAGCTTTCGAGACCTGAATCTCACTTCATCAGATGTAAGTGCTGGGGAAATCTCCCTTCCTGGGGGGAAAGGGGGGGGGAGGGAAAAACTCAACCCAAGATAACACTGCGAACCAGAAGGGTTAAGCTGACCATATATATTATAAAAGTACAAAATTTATTAGGGTGTACACATATTAAAATATATTCAGGTTAAAAATAATTTCAAGTATCAGACTAATAAAAGCATATCAAATATTAATACACATGATGGGTCAACACTTTCCAACTGAAGACCAAACGCGTTTCGGCCTCAAAGGGCCTTCCTCAGTGGTCACTATACAACATAGTATAGACCAGTGTTCCCTCTAAGCTGAGTTAGTGTGAGCTAGCTCACAGTTTTTTAGCCTCTGGCTCACACGTTTTTGTCTTAGCTCAGGAAGGAAGGGCTCTAGAGCAAGCTAATTCATGCAGCAGCCAAATCGCTCGCT